TGGAAAATGTGAGCCATTCTATGGACATCTGGCAGCAGGCGGGGTCCACCCACCATGGTTGACTGGTCTTGGGATGGTATTTTCTGCCGGTAATCAGAAAAATGATGCAGTCGGCTCATACAAAAGAGCCAGGTATTGTTCTTTGCGGAAAGACATGACTGAAGGGTTATTTCAGTGCAAAGACCAGTCATCACCAGTATGCTAGTCGGATTATTGGCTATCATCCAGGCGTAACCATCTCTACCCCATTTTTCCGGAGTTGACTCAGAACCTCGGATTTCCTCAAGGTGGCGTTTCTAGGGGTTATTTGACCCCTGAATACGAATATGATACCTATTTCGCACGCAGAGAGCTGCGAGTCGCGCTACAGGTGCAAATTTTCACTGCGCCAGCCCACCCGCAAGAAGAAAACCAGTGAAGGAAAACCTCCATAACTCCGCTCAGAGAATCGTCCCGCAAATTTTGAAGGTAGTTCCGAGTTCATTGTGCTGAGACGAGTACAATGATATGCACTCACTGCAAATGGCCAGGCTGTCCTATTGGCCTTTCCTGGATGACACCTTACAAACCAGCACAGTTGTGTGGAGAACCTTGTTTCCGGAAATGTTCACGTCTCGTTGCGTTGATACAGGTGCAAAACTGCTGCCGCAATGAGGATCCGAACGAGTCCCGCATTCTTTTACCATACAGCATCGTGCTATCCGCTACGCCATCTGATCCGCAAGCAATGGTCATGAAGGGAGCGCTGACAAAAACATCACTCTTGCGTCGGTGCATGCCAAGTGTGTTACGATCATGATACTTACATCTTGACATTAATCAAATCTATTTTTGAGGCCTGATTAGAGACCACCTCATAAACTATGCATGCTCGAAGTTACAAGCAGAAAGGAGCCCATTACGGTTCCTAAATCCGCCCATTCTTCTGAAATTCTTTTCACTGAGTTTTTGACCTACCCAGAAACGCATAGCAAAAATGAAACCCATTTTTGTGACCCTTGTATGGACCCCTACAACAAGCAGTAAACCATTTCCAAAAAGGCGTCATGACCTGGAACACCGCCCTTGTTAGACAAACCATCCTTTCCTGCTTAGCGATTTTAAACTCCGTGAGTTGGTGTAATATTCGTGTTTGAGAGAAACTACTTTTTGAGAGGAATTTTGGGCCAAATCTACCTTTGTAGAAAAAGTCGGTGAAAAACTGTTCTGATTTCGGTTGAATGGGCAGGGAAGTGTGAATAGTTCACTCTCTTCATTTCGGTATCGTGTAATGTGTGCTTCCAGATGGTTTTCACTTCAGTTTTATTAGTTTCTTATAGAATTTTAGCTTTGAACTTAAAGTTGCAGGCTACGAACTTCGGTGGCTATCCACCGATCTGTTTTGCTAGCATTTGACTTTAAAAAGCGTTATTAGAGACAAATTGTACATTCATCTCTATGGATTCTGATCCTTGTCATGTGTGAGGTGAATAGATCTGCAGTCGCAGTAGCATGCCACTTTTTCGGCTCAAAACTGACTGACGAGCCTTAGTCGTAGTAATACCCTAGTGCCGATACCTCAGTAGGTCTCGCGTACCCGCTTGGTCAGCCACGCAACATGCCTAACCGTAGCCAAGCGCAGTGCTTGTCTGCGGTATGTTTTTGTCTGCGAGACCTTTGAATTTACGAAAGGGCCGCACCTTGAAGATTACATTTTGGAAATATGGAGCCGGCACTGAGTATCACTAAGTTCCAGCCCACTTCCCGTGCATCTTTGAGCAAGGAAAACTGTACGCTATTGCAGGTGCAGGCCCATTCACCTAACAAATAGAAATGACCGTTTTTGGAGGTTAGTATACAGTTTGTCTCTGATCTCTCTCTCATCCATGTTGTGGCTCAACGTTATGGGCGAAGTTGATGAATCTTTTACATTTCCGAATCAATTCTCTAGTTGCAAAAGTTTTTCGAATAATAATGGTTCTTGAGAGTTTATAAACAGGAATGAAGTGAATGCTTGAATGTCTGTTCTCTCAGATGTGACCGGATCATCAGATGGATCAGTTAGAATTTGGGAGTGGGGAGTGGGACAACCTGTGTTCACTGCCCGTGTAGCTGGTCAACATGCCAAGGTTTCGTTGGCTTACCTCATGCCTTGAAACCATGTAATAAGTTACGTTTAGGTGTCCAAAGTTTCGTTTTCGTGCAATGGTGATAAATTCGCAGCAGTTGATGTAGACGGAATGTTGGGCCTGTGGCAGGCCACTCCTTCCACAGAACACAGTAAACCATTTTTCGTGAGTGGTCGTTTGCTCATTCCTACTTTTTTCAAGGGTTTTTTTGCAGTTCATGTCGGACGCATATCAGAGACTTGTTCATTTTTTTTATTCGTATGAAACTCTCTCTATCTTTGTTCATTTGCAATAATTTTACGGTACCTGTGGTGCGATCGCGATCTTGTGAGACCACAAACTCATTCGTGACTTTCTTTCTGCCAATCGCTGTCATTGCTTCTATTACCCACCAATTTACCTGCTTCGCAGTCGCTGCGCTCCTTCAAGTCCGTGCCTAACCACAGCTCGACGTCAGGGCACGCAATCGTTGTGGAACTTATAACAGGGGTTCGTAACTGACCGCAAACGAGCGGGGGGGGGGGTGTCGTAGGCGCCGGGCACATTCAGAAGTGGAAAGAACAGCAATACTCACCTGCGGTACTCAACTTGCAAGCTTGAAAGGGGAATGGGTGGTGAAAAGAAGTGCGGTAGCCGCCCACGATGGCGTCATGGATTATTAAATTCATTCCATTTAAATGAAACACAGTATACGCTTCCTCATAGTAGGGGAACATTTGTTTGCACAGAAAAGCTTTACCTACTTTTGCAACTTTTCTACTCGGGAGTCGGATGCATGGTGCAACACAGAGGAGATGCCAGTCGAGTGAACTATTTCCGAATGAAAAAGGACGAAAAAATGTGTTTGAAAAGCGTATTCAAGGCGTCATACGTACTGGAAATGGTACTGCGCCCGAGATTAGGATTTTCCACATTGCCCGAAACTGTACACAACAAAAAAAGAATATAATGAAGATTTTCACAATTATGGGCATAGGGAAAAAAATTGAATACTCAGCAGAGAGATGAAATCTTCTGAATTCCTGCACTTGTTTTGGTTCCCCCGAATGGTAATATGAAGAAAGTTGTGGCTCTTCAAAGCATGTAAAGTCGCAGATGACACTCAAATTCAACAAGGATGGCTCAGCGGGGATATTTCACCACAATTCAAAGTGGCTCGAGCACAGCTGATTAATGAAAAACCTAGAGTTCCACGGCGGCATTCAAATAAAATTGCAAGCAATGCGATGACGTGCTCTGGCTGACGTAACCCCACCACCAAATAAGCTGGCTGTTAATGTACCGAAACAGAGCCTTTCAACCAGTAGCATGGCGTTCTCACAAGGGAAGGATCGAATTGGCTATTCCAAATGAGATATATGCCCACAGAGAGGTCTTTGGACGATGACTACAATTCCGTCTTCCATATCTGCCGCAGATCTCCCAGAACGAGGCTGAGGAGCATTTTAGTGAGAGCATACACGCGCTCACCACGAACAAGGGCGGAAGGCTGCGTGGCCGATCAACTATATGGTAGGTCGCACCCACGCATTATCGAGGGTTTGAGTATTTGCGCTGCATGCGCTCTTTTGCCTCGCTTAGACTTGGGGTCTCCACGCACTCGAAAACATTACTGGATATCTCTTGGGCTCAATAGTGCCGTGACGTCCTATTTTTGAAGGAAGGGAGCAATTGTGGACGATTGAATGGAGATCATTTTTTGGTTGCTGTCCATGCTTCAAACTCCTAACTCTTCTTCTTCTTCTCCAGCGTTTGTCCCGCTCAATGGCTGGGTCCACTCTTTAAATATAACTACGCCACTTTTCCCGAGTAATGCCTGCGGGGTGAAGGTCGGCTATTAGTCGGTATGCAGCGTGTCGAGCCAGCGCTGTTTGGGACGTCCCTTTGGCCTCTTTCCTGGTACCTCGAGTTCGCAACATCTTCATCTCCATCACACCAAGGCGAGTTGGTGCCGTACAGGGTATAGCGGGATGGGCGAATTACACCGTTGAGATGCCCTCGAAGTATTCACGTCATCGTTGCAATACCCTTTTTCGGTCTATCAGAAGGTGGCCATTCTCATCACTTATGCCAAAAAATTTCTCAATGTCTTCGGTTTGGCGATGACGAGATTTGGCGAGTCCGTACAGGTACCGCTCACCGCCGCGCGTCTCCAGCTCCTTGCCGATGTCATCGAAGTGAGCGGCCCTCACAGCGGCCACGGCCGTCTTTGCCGCATTCCTCGCTTCCCGATACTGCCGCTAGTTGTCGCCGACTTGTGCTCGAGGGACACGTGATGGAGCTTCTTCTTTCCTCAAACCTTCGCTTTGAGGTCGTCTGTCCAGAGCCATGCCCCTGTGTCAATCCTCCACCATCCACGCTTCGTTATGTCGAGTTCCGAGCGGGCGGCTTGGATTATAGAATTAACGGCTTCGTTCCAGGTCTTCTGAACAGTTGTGATTTCAGGTAGTCGAATACGAGAAATCACGGTTGCCTCCCGCTCTTTCAGTCGCCACCACTTTATTCTTTCAGGACCGCATTTTCTGCCTGTCTCGGTCTGGGAGCTACAAGTCTGGGCGTGCAGATCAGTGGGCGGTGCTGCGTGGCAACCGTTTCATGCGGTAGAACCTTAGCGTCTGTCGCGAGCACTTGGTCGCCATGCCTGATGAGTACAAAGTCTATTTGTGACTTGTTACTCCCGCTGTAGAACGTGATGAGATGGGAGTCACGTCTACGGAACCTTGTGTTCGGAATGACAAGATCATGCGACTATGCATACTCAAGGACTCGCTCATCATGAAAACCGTAGCCGAATCCGCCATGACAAGCATAGCCGTCTTTTGATGCGCCTACGTGTCCGTTTAGATCGCCGGCTACGATGATACCGTCTTTTGGTGGCACTTCAGCCGCCTTTTCGTCCAGCAGAGCCCAGAACTCGTCCTTGGACTGCTCAGAGCATCCAGTTTGTGGGACATATGCAGAGAAGAAGTGGTACAGTCGTTGTTCAGTAGCGACAACAATCTGCACTAAACGGTCGTCGAAATGAACTGCGCTCACAGTCGAATCGCGAAATCGCTGAGACACGATCACGGCCACACTGCTTGTAGTTTTCGGCCCGCCACAAAGAACGGCTTTGAAGCCGCGGCCTAATTCTTTCGACTTGTAACCAGCCCATCTCGTCCTTTCTACGCTCTAGGGCTTCTGCTAACTCATACGAGCGTCCACTCAGCGTCCCTACATTCAGCGTCGCAGTGCGAGCCTTTAGCATATTGCACGTCTTTCGGACTAGCCTGGTTGCCCTCCTATGCCGTCCTTGCAACGAGGACCCTCGCATATTTTTCATAGTCGTCGGGCCTTGCGAGTGCGCGTCTGATCCCGCGAACGCCGTAGTATCTCGAACGTCAAACATAGTTGAACATAATGATGTGACGTGGTGTGATCGTAAGCCGGCCCGTCACAAAGGCCTGTCGCCTGCTGTCGTGTTTGTCCGTGTTCTGCTCAGCCCGCAAAAGCGAGCAGGTCACCTTACTTCATACTTATTCGCTCATCTACAGTTTTTTGCTGTAGGATTCCGGGATTTCCTCTCTTATTTGTGGTGCGCAGCAATGTATTTTGTAACGCATCCAGGTGAGTTTGTGACACCGTCCCAGTATGCATTTCCACCGGATTCGGTAGGTCATTGTGAATTTGCAAGCTGTGACGATCTCCTTTCATCCGTTGCTCTCACTGCGAAAAACAATTTTGCTCTCAACCATCTCGTGCGAGGCTATCATATTTGTTCATAGACTATAAATGGATGAAATAAGCAGTAAAATAGGAAATCAACAACCGAAAACTTTCTTTGGAAACGTTCACAGTGGCTCCCTTTCTTCAGAGGCATTACGTCGCGGCTTTATCAAGCCCAGATTATGTAAAACATGTTTTAGAGTGCGCAGAGGCCGCTGTCGAAAGAATGCAAAAGAGCGCATGCAGCGCACGAGCACGTAGCCTTGAGCTCTTTATTCGCACTGGGCTTTATTGTAAAAAGCACAGGTCTGCAGCATATCATTACCTGGAGCCTGTTTTTAGCTGTGCTAAGGTCGGCTAATTCTCTGATCACGCTCAGCTGCTCATGTCCCGACAGCTAACGTGCTGCTTTTTTATTGCGTGAGCTATTCCACGTGCATATTTGATTATATTTCTTTATCTCCAAGTGCGACCGCTTAGTGATGAACTTACTGTTGACATATTAGGTTGGTGTATAAGTTCTCAGCCCCTGTTTTGTTCCTTCCGTATTCCGTTTGCATGAAGGTTGGTATTTCATCATCACGAGCGCATGACGTGTACATGATACTCTTTCACCACACTAGCTACCACTCATCCACCCTGCATTTGCAGGCTACAACGCCGCACAGTTACCAGTGCAAAACCATGTCATAGTGGTGATTGTGCGGCACTGTGGCCTTCTTCGAATCACAGCCCCCGTCACTCTGGGAAATGGAATCGACAAGCTGCCTTAGTGCTGAGGACGAGTAGTTCATGGTGATGGTGCATACCTCTGATCTTCAGGCTGGTTCGCTATTGAGATATTTACGAAAAAAGTCGGGGTTAAGAACTTATGCACCAACCTAATATGATAAGGATATCTTTTATTAAGTCGTAAGAGAAGCACTCCGCCTCTCCAAACATGTTACCACTATTTTCCTTTAGTACAACCAACAGTTAGCAAACAGGAGGAACATCCTTGGACCGGATGCTGCCATTCATCATGTAAGTTGTGGGTGCTGCTTCTTCAGATATCCTGGGACTCCGGAAAAGGAAGCTCGCTGTAGCAGGTTTTTACTTGGTCGTGGTCATTGAATTTTCTATACTTTTGATGGAATGACAGCGACAGAAAGGACTGATAATCCTTCAATGCTAGATCTGAGGCATACGCTCTATGGACCCTGTAGTATCATTCCCCACTGCTGAATTCTTTTTAATGTCGTGTTGGCAGCCGATATCAAAAAGGCGTTCCCTAAAATTACAGCACGAATTGCAAGCGAGTAATCTTGTGTGCTGTTCTTTGTCCCTGGTGCTATTACTGATCTGCTCTAGGGTCCGGTAGCTACTGTTGTTGGTCCTCTATGTATGGCCTGATGTTATGTCCTTTCGTTTACCGGTACGGGCAGCCGTCTGTTCCAGTCGTTAACTAATAACAGCAGAACACTGTATAGAGTAGATATGTACTAGGGAAAGGTGAAAGGGAGAAGGCCTCCGTACGTGCCGACTCACGGCTTTTAATGCAAGGGTTCAGGCACAGAACT